TGTCCGAAATGGTATAGGGTTTCCTGCCTGAGCAGGGGGTTGGACTAGATGACCTTCAAGGTCCCTTCCAACTTTACTATTATTATTATTATTATTATTATTATTATTATTATTATTATTATTATTATTATTATTATTATTATTATTATTATTATTATTATTATTATTATTATTATTATTATTATTATTATTATTATAAAAGTTGAATGTGCCTATGTTCCAATTACACAGGGAGTGTGGCTGAGCCAGGGGGAGTCAAATGGGGAATTGGTCTGGAATTCCAAAATCTGACTTTCCCCCTTCCCCCAATGCTGTTGGACCTTATTTACTCTCACTCAAGTGCTAATCATCAGTCTGAGAAGATTCCTTTGTATAGGCTTGACCAACAGAACAGCTGATTGAGCTCTTCCTGTTTGGATCTGGTTTTTGTTCCTGACAAGTCAGCAGCTGGAAATAAAAACAGCAGGGTCCATAGGCAAGAGTGATTACATTGGAAACATCAGTAAAGCAGTATTATGATGCAAGCACTACTACTGTTACATATACACTAAAATCTCCCATTTATATATGAAAATGTTAGAAAATAGCCTTTCATGGCACTGCATGTCTTCTTTCATTGAATGAGTGGTTATGGTTTCCTAGATGTCTTGATGACCTTAAGCGGGTTTCAGTTTCCTAATTCTTATTGGCTCTGTGCTACCTCATTTATTCCTTGTTGGTATTTTGGACTGAACCTTTCATTTGTTTTTAGTTTACCAATCATGGTTAAAGCCAGCATGTACAAAGTCCATTTCTGGTAGAAAAGATAAAGTGTCATTGAAATAAACTTTTAAAACTCTGCATTTTAAGTAGTGTGTAATTCTTATTCTTATTTCTTACTAGCTGTACCCAGCCACGCATTGCTGTGGCTCAGTCTGGTAAAAGCGTGTGTTGCTTTTATGTCCAACAGATGGCGCTGTTTTTCAAAAAAGCATGTTTTTACCCATCACAGGTGTGACATCTATA